CCTTGGACAAAGCCCCCCAAACTTTACCGTCGGTTTACACTAATAGAAAAAGTGATGATCAGTAAGCTTATAGATTTCATACAATTGAAAGTGCTGGTGAAAGATATAGAGAATATTACATGGGCGCACGGAGAGAGATTATTTTTCAACACGAGAAAATAAAATTCGTATCGCCAAGCGACCATGTAATATTCTGTTTATCATATAATTACATATGAAAKCAAATTGATGTGTTGTAATCTACTTTTTTCTTAATTCTATTATACAGAGAAACATGTAATGTGTGAAAATAGCTAGTGAAAATAACAACTTTACGAAATTGTGAAATATATGCATTTCGTAAATAACCACATGATAAATATGTTTTTTCAACGTTGGACGTTGTAGCAGCGTGAAGTCGGGCTAGATAGAATAAATGCAAAATAGAAGATTAGCAGGCAGGGGGAAAACCATGATAGATGTTGTACATCAAACCTCTGGAACAAGGGCTCAACAAGGGTTATCGGTTAAAATTCACGTCTATTTGCTTCGGTTTTCCAGGTTATTCAAGTGACTTTGCATGYAATTTGCATGTTTTCAATTACACCAATTGCAAAAACTACAAGGAAACCAGCAAAATCTGTGAAAGATCTAAATATCTACAGTACAGGGTCGAATTTGAAACATCATACGAACTGTCAGGTTACGCTTGAGAGATCACAGACTTTTGTAACCCTTCAGCTTGATATGATATCCCAACACTACATTTTCACACGCATCCATTGGTCCAAAGGCGGAGAGATCTTCAGATTTTCACTGACTAGTCACGAACTCGATACTGTTTGAAGCAATTAAAAACAGACACCAGGACAAGAGAGAACATACTAAAATTAGTAAAGCTGCTCAGTTTGAGAGTATTCTGGTCCATGTACATAAAACTGGATAAGTATAGGTTAATAGGGTTAATATTGTTTTAACAATTTTATAATTTAAAAATTGTAAAGTGTTGTTTATATGACCTTTTTAAATCTCACGATATTTGCATATTTTGAATGAGCTACACGCTTTTACAGCGTGAAGTCGGGATAGCTATTTTTGAAAATTGAGAATGACAGAATATCACTCCTGGATCGATATTTCTTATCGTGTTTTACTCTTTCGCTCTTYATGTATTCGCAAATCCAAGTAATTTCTCAATTTTCCAATATAGCTAGCCCGACTTCACACTCCAAGATCGTCTAGTTTATTTTATATCCCAACGAATTCATTTTGTTGTGTTGAGGAAGAACAGCTCTTTAAAAAGCGGTTTTGATAACTTTCCATAGCTTTTTTGTGTCAAAAACATATCTAAAAATTTGCGCGGACAAATATCACCTTCGGACGGGGGATATCGYACGTCCGCCGAAAATGTACCACGTGACGCCTTTGGAGCAATGGATGCGCGTGAAAATAATATTGTTGGGATAWAATATATTCTATCGCATCTTTGGGCAGTCACGATAGTGAAAAAATATGGCACACGGATCATTCGCAAAGACTTCTGGGATAGATTCGTGCAATTTATTAATTGACTAGTGCATAACAATGAACTAATCGCAAATCGTTTTTCCCCAATCTCGTACGAGTTTGGATTTCCCGGAAGTGCAACCGCGCCGTAATGCTGACAAAATTGGTGGAATCTGCGAGAAACTTTCCTGTCCTTTGRTTTTGCTCTGCTATGGATTTTTTTTCTTCTAATCAGGGATTTTAAAAAAAAATAATCAATGATAATAATAGAATATACATAGAAATAATATAATAATAGATGATACATGTTTGAAGGCAAAATGCCGCTGTTCAATAAGTTTTTTTATTAACATGATGCAAACACACATTGAAGCACRTAAAATACAACTAAAAGATAAATATCGAAACTAAATACAAAGCATTTTGTGCATAMAAATTCTTAAATTGCGAATTGATGTTTTCTTTACACTGTTATCTCAAGACAATTAAGTTTGGAAATCAWAATTGTCAATTTGTTGTTGGTAAAAAGATAGTTTTTTTTACAGTAAACTGAAAGTGTATAGACATGACCGTCTTCCTGCG